CTGCGGGCCGTACATGGGGTTTGCTGTGAGGTGGAACGGGCTTGATGGCACCTAACAACAACGACAACGACAACGGCTTCCCACTGTTAGAACTGGCAAGCGAGAGCCTGTGAAGAGCAGCCGAGCATTGTCTGACGCAGCGCTGGAAGCTGAGCCCCTCACAGCTGAGGGAGAGCTGCCTCCTCAGAGCAGAGGTGACCTGGAGGGGCGCGGAGGGAGCAAAGCTTTGGGGGCCTTCTTTGCTGGCCGGGCACAACTCACCAAGGGAAGAAACAGCGGCAAACATGCAAACATTCGTTAGCACCCAGAATGTGGAATGTCTGAAGCACACGTGCAGGCAAATTGGAAGTCATGCAGAATTAAATGGGACGCCTACAGGGCAATATCCCAGGCCTTGGTGAGCCGACTGGACCAGGATTGGCCGTGTTACACCAACAGTCATGTGGTTTCCTCTGGCGGGAACGACTTATTGAAGAAGAGTGGCCTCCCACTCATGGTGAACAGGAACATCTGAGATCAATCCCGGGGTACAGTGCTGTCCGTGATAGGTTAATACCAATATGCCTAAATGAAGACCAGCTAATATGGCTGTCATACAAATGTACACAACACCCACTGATGCAGAAAACAGAGATAATTTCCCCGACTCCCTCAGTCTAAGATCGATCAGCTATGAAGAACGGATAGCAATGGGAGAATGCAAGCACGGGAAACAAGGAAGAACAAGCCGTTGCGGAATCGGCCTTGGTGGTCAAAGCTGGAGACCACACGGCAGCATTTTGCAAGACCGAGACCTTCTGCACCGCACATACCCACCGCGTCCGGTCCAGTGGGAGCCCATGTGTGACGGGACAGCACCCCCTGTCCTGCACCATCCCCACTGGGGCTGCCATGTTTGAGCCTGTGGCTGCCACCACGATGTCAGAGCACCTTGCTGAGCATCATATACTTGACCAAGCGTGATGTCCTTTTCCAGGGACTGGCGCCCCTCCTGATGACGTGTCTCAGTACCTCCCACAGAGTCTTGCCGGCCTCACTGCGAAGATGCATGCTGGCTGTGCGCCCTTCTGACAGACCTGCTTGCTCTCCTGCAGCGAAGGGCGTATGCAGTGTCCTTCGCTTGTGCCATCATCCAAGGGCATCCGTTCTTCACCGGTCGGTCTTCCTTCTTCTCTGTCTGGCTCTCACATGCACACGAGGTGATTGAGCATGCCCTGGATCGGCTCACCTACACCCCAGTGGCCCTTACAGAGTCGGGTGTCAACTTGAGACTATGAAGAGGCACGGGGTGGAGGCTAGCCTGTCAGTCGGGCCACAGTTTGATGACCTCATCTGGAGGCGCAATGAAGATAAACAGCTCACTGGAGGCCAGACCCTCTCTCTCTGCTTCGCCTTCCTGCGGACAAGCCACATGGACTGACATTGATGGAACCAGAGTTCTGGAGTTGGAGGAGCCACATAGAGACCCATGCCAGCACTGAGATGCTTCCACCACCACTGGATCCACAAGACTTTCTACCTACTGGCCTGTGATCTTCCTGCGTTCAGCATCATTTGCGTGGCTGTGTGAGTCTAAAGAGGAATTTATGGACTAGTATTGACATATGCAGTAATAACGGACTTATGGACTTGATCTGGACTGGGCCTGGATGTTTTCGTAATGTACAATTGCTCTTTGATATTCAGTTCTCTCTTCCACATACCAGTGTCTCTAGATTTGTTTCTCTGGTCAACCCGGACTAACATAGCCTTCAAAGTGACATTCTTGATCTTCAATACTCCGAAGGGGTCTTTTGCAGCTGATGTTTCCGGGGTAGAATGTCCTTGATCCCTTGACCGCTGCTTCTGGAAGTGTGGGTGCGGGAGCCGAGTCAAACAAGATCCTTGACAACAGTCAACAATCTCTTCCATTTATCATAATTGCTCTGCATTTGTGTGATCAGATCCATAGGTTACCGCCAACTGGATGTAGCTGGATATATCACGGTGGATTAATTTCTTTCCTCCTTGAATGGGCAAGGGGATTTCTCTATCGGATTCTTTGTAAGTTCTCTTGCCTCAAGTACACAGCACATGGACACGATGGCTGGCAGTCCAGCAGCTATCCTGGACCACGAGGCCACCTTGGGGAGAGAAGCCATGAACCTCGACTTCTGAAGGAGAGAACCAATTGGCAACTTGGATCTCCAATGAGGTGGGAACGATGCCAGCCCTGCCTGCTCACCTTGGGAGTTCTTCACCTGGACGATGAAACACGGCCACATTTAGTCCACCCTTCCGGGGGTGCGGGGTGCGTTGCTTTGAGCTAACTGCAACTCCCAAGCAGTGTCAGGGTCAGCGGAGGCTTATCTGGTATGCCAACTCTGGGCTTACACAGTCTCAAACCCCCACATGTGGCGCAGCAAGAGGGGGCGATGGAAGGCGAGGAAGTGTCCCGTGGCCACAGAGGGAGAGCTGGTTCTCCCGAGAGGTGGGGTTCTTGTGGCTTGTGAAGCAGCTTGAAGACGCTCAGAGGATGCAAGTGAGTGAGGCTGACTCGGGCCACGGTGTTTCCCGTCGCCTTGTAAGCACACCAAACCTGCCGTGTGAACAGGAAGCACCGCTGGACAACCAGTGCACGTTGGAGTGAACAGTGGTGGCAAAGAACATTCCACAGGCACTGACCACCAAAAGGACAAGCTGGAAGGACAGCCGTCTGGGGGGGTCCTTAGAAGCGAGGCTGACGAGCCTTCATCTCGCTGCCCCGGGACACGTCGTCAGGACAGACCCACCCACGTTACCCGGAGAGGTCGATCCCTGAGAAAGGGCATCCCATTGGTAATGAGGAGCCTCCACGACCAAGCAGACCCTGGACAAGATGAGCTGACCCAGTGGCCGCCGCAATAGGCCCACATCACTGCGAGGACAGTGCGGGGCAGGGGTGCTCTTTCCAAGGGTTTCCTTCTAAAGGGCTCGCTCTCTTTGTACGCGGGGCTGCCTTGAGTCGGAACCAACTCGATGACACCTAGCTTTCAGGGTGCTGCTGAGTGCAGCGGGCAAAGGGGACCCCAGGCTGGGTGCGCACAGCCCGGGACACCGCTGGGAGGCTGGAGCTGAAAGCTCCCCCGACGGGCAGGGGATTCCCATAATCACTCTGTACGTGGAAGTGGGACCATGGACCGTCTCACGGAGAGGAGGGGGTTGGGGCCCCACTGCCTGCCATCTGAATAAATGGCCGGCTGGGCCCCGGTCACACCCGACACCCCACCCCGGCGAGTCTGAGCGAACAGCCTGATCATCAACTTCCTATCACTAGCCAACTGTCAGCGCTGCCTTCCTGTAGAGATTGATCCCGGTGTCTTCTCGGCACTACAGAATAACCCTCGTCATGTTTGCTAACTGATGGCAGGGGGGCGGGGGTGCCAGGCATCCACCAATAGGTTAACCCACCCTTCACTGGCGACAGGAAAAGCAATTTTGCGGCAGGAGGAGGCTCCGATGATTGTCTGCAAACAGACACGTCCCGCATCCGCATGATGAAAGGGCATCTGAAGCGATTGCTCAGTAATGTTCTGGAAGATTCCTGGGAGAAGGCGGAGCTACACACCAGGGTCTAGGCGGCAGAGCGAGGCTAGGTCAGGGCTGGCCCACCTTCCTGTGGACGATGGGAACCGAGGGCCGAGCCTTCTAGGGGCGGAAGCCACCTCTGTCCCCGAGTTGCAGGGACCTCACCGGCCCTTCCCACCCCAGGGATCAGCGCACAGGGGCGGCTTTCACAGACGGGTGGCTCCGCTAGGTGGTACTTTGCTGTATCTATTTAAAAACAATGGGTGCCCCACATGTAGAAGCCGACTTTAGAAGCATGTTCTGCAGACCCCTCATTAAGCCCTGGTTGGTCCAAAGGTGAGACCGAGCCATTGGGGTGAGGGGGGTGATCAGAAGGGGCCCCGATGGTGTGTAAAGGACTCGTGGCCAAGGGCTAACGCTGGACGGGGGAAGGCAGAGGCAACGTCGCCACATCACGATGGGCGATTCACCAGTGCCCTGGGCTGGTTGCAGGGGCCCTGCTGGGGTGGTGGTTATGTGCTGGGTTTTGGATCCGCATGGTCTGCAGTTCAAAACCAGTGGCCTCTCTGGGGAAGAAAGACTGAGCTTTCTACTCACGTGAACGGTTACAGTCTCACAAACCCACAGGGGTTTGTGGTGAGTCAGCGTGCAGTCTGCACGTGGCTTGGTTTGACTGCTTGCCGGACACCGGTGGCCCTCTAGACTGGGCAGGGGCGGGGCACCTTCCCCACCAGGCTTCCCCCATCCACACCATCTCTCTGGCCCAGGGATCTACTTGTGTGGAGACCCTGGTCCCATGTGGTTTCCAGTGCGTGAGACAAGCGAACACATCACGTCATCAGCCTGTTTTCCTGATCATGGCAGAAACTCATCCCCGAAACCAGAAGAAGGAGGTGGTGCCTGGCTTCCCCTGCTGACCCGCTCAGCAAGAGTCTGCGATGGCAGAAACGGCACGCTCAATCACAACCATGGCCGGGCCTGCCCGCTGGCCGACAGGCGTGGGTGGGGCTCCCAGACACGCACAGCAGGCCTGGAAATGAACTCAGTCCTTCCCGTGCTCGACTTTCGGTCCAGGGGGGATAATCTCCTGAGCACAGCCACCAGCCAAGACCAAAAGGACTGAGTTTGCTGGGGGAGAGAGCTCGGCGGGCAGGAGCAAATGGCAAGGGGACACAGGACACGCAGGGAGGGAGACGGGCAAGTGCTGGTGGCACCTTGTGTGGACGGCCATCCACGTCGGCGCACAGACTCGTGGGATTGTTGGGTGGAAGGCCACAGAGCTCTGCCGACTTTCACTCCCACGCCGGTGAAACCACAGCACCAACACCCACAGGTTGGGCACTCCCCAAGAACACTCCTGGGACATCATTTGGCTACGCGTCTCCTCCACACTTGCCATGGCCGGCACACTCCCTCCCACGTCCCATCAGCTCCAGGAGCTGGGGCCTGCTTACCATGGCCAGCGGGGTCACTGCAATGATGTCCTTCAGGCTCACGTAGATCTTGGACACTCCCAGGTCTGAGGTGAACCCTCCCGGGTACTCCACCTGCCAGGTGACCAGCTGTGTGGCCGGAGGGTCTCCGGGCTCTGAGATCTCCACGTCCACCTGCATGACCTCGTAGGAGGCGGTGCCCACGCTGGAAGGAGAGAAAGAGAGCAGCTGTGAGGGGCCTGGGGTGACCTCGGACAGGGCAGCACTTCCGTGTGTGTGTGTGTGTGTGTGTGTGTGTGTGTGTGTACACTGTCTCTGTGAGAAATGCCTCGGAGTTGAGATTCCACGGTGAACAATGTGTCCTCGATGTGACCAATGACATTCCCTTGGCCTCACGCATCATCAGTCGGTCCTGAACCCAAACGGACCAACCCCTGACTCGTGGGGCCCCACATGTACCCCACGGGCTCCCTGGATGCCATCTTTGTGCAAACTGATGGTCATGCCTTGTCCCCATGGCACCCTGTGAGTGTGCTGACCTCCATCCCCCAGCTGAGCTTCTGAGCCCCCGCTGTCTGGCTGCTGCCAAGGCCCCCACATGCACCAGAGAAGGAGCTCTCTGGGCTGCCCCTGCTGTGCTCCCTGTCCAGTGTGGCCTGAGGCCCACTCAGGCCCTGATGTGCCCCTCAAACACCTGCTTCCCAGCAGGGTCCCTGTGGCGTTTGGGGGTACCGCCCAGCAGAGCCCACACTGGTAGCCCCAGTGGAAGCTATGTCTCCAGGTCACCCCTGGGGCCGGGCTCCCATGGAGCTTCCAGACAGAGGCCAGCTGGGAAGACAGACCTGTGAACACCGGCCAACGGGGAGCCTGCCGGCCTCAGCATGCTACCCAAGACCTGCAGATGCTGAGTCAGCAAAGACACGTGGCTAGAAAAGTCCAGGGTTCAGAGGGTCAGCGGGGAAGCAGGAGCCACTCGGTAGGCGGGACGGACCATGCAGGGCAGCACCTGTGGCAGGGGCTCAGGGTCATTGAGTCGGGCTGACCGCAGCATCTCCCTAATCTTGCTCAGTCTTCACCATCATCCAGAAAGTACTCCTCCCAGTGGGAACCTTCTTTCCAAATCAGCAGAGAGGAAGGCCGTCTAGACTCCGGTCTGTCGGCCCGAGAGCGACTCAGAGCGGCGGGTGTGAGGCACAAGCCTGGGCCCCCTACGGCTACCTTTGCTTTATTCCAGGCTAGAAAGCAACACAATGGATACACTGGGCCCTTAACAAGCACACACACACCCAGCTTCACTCTGCTGCCACCCACGGGAGCGCCTGCTTCCGAGGCGTGACTGCTGTGGGTGGGGGAGGCTGAGAGTGACGTTCCGTCTCCCAGGTGGTACTGTGAACATGCGCTTACAGGTGAAATGCCTGGTAGCAGTCTACGGCCCTCGACGGAGATTGAGGCCCCCCCACAAAAAAAAAAATCCATCAGTGTGATTTCTGGGGGCCACTTGAGCAGAGACGGTGACAAGCACAGAGAGGGCAGGGGTAGGACTTGTGACCTAGGTTGGTTTCCCGGCCGGTGCACCCCTGGGCATCCCCTCCATGCGCCCTGGGTATTGCTGGGATGCCCAGCAGGTGTCAGCAGAGCTCCCAGACCAGGGTGGCGAGATGTGAAGCCCATCATGGGCACAGGGCAGCTGGGAAAGCGGCAGCTGGGCACAGGTCTCCATGCGGGCAGAGCTGGCTGGAGTGAGTGAGCCCCCTGGTCATTCTGCACCTCATTACCACAGCCCCTCTCCGCTGCCCCCAACCATCCCGCCCCATGTTCTAAAGATCTGTACCTGCTACTTGCCTTGATGGCCCTGCAGGGCCCCTGGGGTCACCTGGCCCAGGCACAGAGCTGAGCATGCCTCCCTCCCATGGGCCTCGATTCCTCGAAGCCTGATGGTGCAGGAGGAGGAAGTCTGCCCCCCGCCCCAACCGTGTCAGCAGACAGAGCCTGGAGCATGGTCTACACCAAGTCCCCCACCACTGTAGGACCCTTGGAAGGTCTTGTGTCATGCGATTCACTCCATCCCTCAAGGCCCCCCAACTGCTGTAGGGACCCCGGAAGTTCTTTCAGGTGACTTCTCAGCATGTGATCATCTTTCGGGCTTTTCCCCACCTCCCACCCCATCCCCCACCCCGAGTCCTTGTCTCAGGTCTGCAGAACCTGCTGGGACTGTAGACACAAGAGTCTGGGGACGAACAGATTCAGTGTGAGAGATGCATGCTGAACGGATGGCTGTGGAAGGGGACAAGAGCCTGCATGCAGCCCTCTGAGGAGACTCTCCACCCAGCCAATGTCCCCCTACCCCGCCCCCGGCAGTGGCGTTGTGTAGATGTGAAGCACCAGCCTTGGTCTCCCGCAAAGAGCCTAGGAGCTGCGTCCTTCCCCGCGCCCCCTCCTCCTCCCTGCCTTCACAGCTCGTCTTCAAGATGAAAATAAGGGTATTACTCAAGCAAAGTGTGTCTTCTCAGACATTATCACAGCATTAAAGGCTTCCTTTACTGACATCTTCTTTTGAACTTTTTCATTAGCATTTTCAGTATAAAAACCTTTCATTATGAAGTGAAATATGCAGGATCCTTTTAATGTATGTACTTTATAATGAGGTTTTTGTCGCTGTAAACTTGTCTCCCCATGTCCTCTATGTCTCCCTCAGCATGCGCGGCGGTCTGCTAACCAGAGAGCCATGGGAGGAGACCTGAGCCTGTTCCTCCTTTCGCCTCTGGGCCCCACTGCTCTCCAGCCCAACGCTTCCTCCACTCCCTCATCCTTCATTCTCTCAAGTGGTGCTTCTGGAGTCCACCTGGCTTGCCTTCCAGGAGGAGGACGGAGGCATTGCTTGGGGCAACTGGCTCAGGCATCGCTGGCAGTGTGAGGATGCAGAGGGGCCGGGCAGTGCCTCCTTCTGCGTGCGCGCCGTCACTGTGAGTCAGAACCAACCCTGTGTGTGTAGGTGGCGGCAGCACACCTGCAGAGCGCGCGGACATTCAAAGTAGACCCGCAGGAGGACGAGGGAAGTGGGCTGTCACTGCTGACATCAGGTGGACCTTGGCTGAAAGAAGAGGCGACTTGGAGGATGTTTACCTGTGTTTGACTCGCAAAGCAAAGCCTTTGGACCGTGTGGATCACAACGAACTGGAGACGGCACGGTGAAGAACGGGAATCCTCCAAACTCCAACGGGCCTCATGCAGACCCTTCGCAAAGACCCAGAGGATGACTGCCCAATGCGGAACCCAGAAAGGGATACGTCGAACCTTGGGATGTATGAGAGATGTACGAACCCTCCCTCCCTACGATTCAGTCTGTACGCCGAGGACGTAATCAGAGAAACGAGGCTCCGTGAAGCAGAGTTGGGAGGAGATGAGTCCAAGGGCTCAAGCAGAAAGCAAATGTTTTGAGAACGATGGTGGCAACAAGTGTACAGATGTGCTCGACACAATGGATGGATGGACGGATTGTGATAAGAGTTGTACCAGCCCCCAATAATTTTTTTTTAAAGAAGAAGAATCGGAGGATCAGGGTCAGAGGGAGGCTGACGCACACCCCGTGACGTGGAGGCGGCACGACCTCACTTGCTGAAGGGAAGGGGACCCGAGAGCACTGCGGACGACGCTCACAGCACTCAGCCTGCGGTGCAGAGGGACACACGTCCGCACTACGGGACGAGAGACAGCATCAAGGCAAGCAGAAGATGCTGAAGCCAAGGACGTCATTGCACACGGACCCACCACCCACGCCCGCAGACGCAGCAATCCAGTCATCCAATGAGGAGCTGCACTGGGCAAGTCTGCTGTGGGAGACCTCGTTACAGGGCTAATGAGCAAAGATGCCCCTTTGAAGACTGAGGTGCAGCTGGCCCCAGACGCGGTGATTTCAATCACTTCGTTTGCGCGTCAAAGTTGGACAGTGACGAAGGCGTTGGCGAAAGCAGCATCGAATACGCACAGATGGCCAGGACGACCAGCACATCTGCGTGGGAAGAAGGACGGCTAGAATGCCCCTTAGATTCCGGGTGATGGGGCTTCGCCCACCTGCTGGACATGCTCTCCGGAGGGACCCGTCCCTGGAAAAGAGCACGCAGCTTGGGGAGAGAAAAACAGAAAGGCTCTCAAGGACATGGGTGGGCACAGTGCCTTCAACCACGGGCCCAAACCCAGCACCGGTGAACCCAAGCAAAGTGACATGCCATGCCGTTGAGCTGACTCTGACTCACAGTGACCCTGTGGACAGAGCAGGGCTGACCTTGTAAGGCTCCCAAGGCCGTCTCATGCCCTTTCTCCCCGGACACTCTGGGGTGTCAGCCACATTCTTCTGTTGGCAGTGGGCACCAGTTGGCTCCAGCTGAAGGCTAGGGAGGGTGAGGGCTCATTCTTGCCATGCACCCAGAATGCAGGTCACAGTAGGGACTGGCGAACGGGGTCAGCAGGCAACTTCGACCGGTGGCTTGTGCTTGGCCAGCCCTGAACTGAGGACCTAATTTTGACATCCTTAAGGGACTGTCACCCTCACACTGTGGGAACCCTGTCACCCACACGCTGTGGGACCCTGTCATCACTGTTAGCACCAATGACACCCTCCAATCGCTATCAGGGTCCAGAACACAGCCCGCAACTCCAGAGACGACCTCAGACCCAGTTCCTGTCTGGGATTCAGGCTCCCTGCCCTGGAGGGTCCCCCACAGACCAAGTGGGTCTCTTGTCAGAAACCACACCCTTCCCTGTCTCCCTAGCTCCTTGGTGTGAAGGCCTGGGGGAGGGGTCCCAGGGGGCGGGTGGGTAGAGAGAACATGGGTTCTTGCTGGGCTGGGGTGCACTCCGGGGGCGAAGACGCAGCCATGGTGAGCAGGCCACCCACCCACCTGAACTGTACACAGAGACATCGCTGAGCGGGTGCTTTCTCTTGTTTACTTTCACACCCACCGCACGTGCACAAACGCACACTCACACGCAGGGTATAGGGTGAGAGAGACTGGAACCAGCACCCACTGTCCAACCCCTGAGCATGGCGCTCCTCCAACCACCAGGCATCAGAATACCATGGGACCCACAGGCCCCGAAGGCCTAAGCACCTTTGCTTACCAAGCAGGCACGCCGTCTGTGTTGCAGCACAGCAGGGAGAAGGAGGCCTTGTATAATGGAATCTCAGGCCCTGTCTCACACAGACTG